CGTCAAAACCCCTCTTTGTTCGTCATCTTCAACAATAATTCCACGTTGGCTTCTCCTTGAAGAAAACAAAAAACTGCTCCTGATTTTTAGTCCACGCTAGTGCTTGTCAAGGACCAAAATAATTGCTTGATAATTCCTACAGGCTTGCTTGCTTTTACTTTGTATATCTCAAGCCTTGGCCTTAGAAAAATTGCTGCGCCCCAAAAATATAATGCTTGCCCAGTATTTCTTCTCGTCCAAGGCTCCTCACCTCTTGATTTGCCAAATCTACTTTTCTTTTTATCTCTTTCTTTTCTAAAGGAATCCTATTACAAGTAGAAGACTTTTTATCAAATAACAAGGAAACCAAATAACAATTATATTATACTATATATAAAACAACTAATATAAATATATATAAATACACATAAAAAAAATCAGAAAAGCAAAAACAAATAATAAAATAAAAAATACGTAAAAAATACGTTTTCAACAATTGTGAACAACTCAATGTATTGAGTATTAAGCTTTTCTGTGTATTTTTACAAATGAAAAACTACATCCCTATTTATAGGAACTAAAAGCTACTATTCAACACTTTCCTAGAAATTACTAAAGCTGAAAATTCAGCCTAAAGGGGCTGCTATGAAGGTCCTTTGCAGCTGCAAGGAAGCTACAAATAAAATGCAATGAAAATGTAATGAAAGTGCAAGGAAGTTGCACTTCACTAACAAGGAAACTGCAGGATTATATCTTACAACAACAAGTTAATTTGCACATGCAAAAAGAACCTTGCTTTGTGCATCCAATCCAATGTGTTATTTAGCACACACAGAAAATCTTTAAACTATCAGATGTTCACAAGAGTTTCAAATTTGAAAACACATCAAAACAGAAAACCTGTTGCTTCTATTATATGGATTTCAAGTTCCCCTTAGTATTTAGCGATATGCTAAACAAACAGAAAAACATGGTAATGCTTTCCTGCCAAATACAATATAGGCATATCTACGTTTGAAATATTGATCAAAAGATCGGATTATGGAATAGTGATGCACGGAGATGTGAATCGAATTAGCCTAAGGATGTCAAATTAAATTTTAATTAAGTGCACTCACATACATGTTCATGAGCTGTGACCTGACCTACGATTAATACGACAGTCACAGTCAAGTTAATATTTTTTATTTCTCTCATATCAGACACTTCATATTAAGCTAGAGTTGAAGGTGGTAGTGTATTCATCTCAATTTTTTTATTCCCACTTTTCTACAAAAGACAACCACTTGTTTCTTAAATGAGAACATGTTTTGCAGTGTTTGCTTTTCATGTTCAACTCTGATGAATCTGGTGCAGTAAAAGAAGAAAATAGGATGCTCAGATAAGAGAGAGAGAGAGAGAGAGAGAGAGAGAGAGAGAGAGAGAGAGAGAGAGAGAGAGAGAGAGAGAGAGAGATCATCTCTAGAAGTTGGAAAGAAAATTAGAAAGCCAAGGGACATAAATGGCCAAAACAAAAGAATTTAGTCTAGGTGCATTAGAAGGACATGGAAGGTCAATGTCTAATGAAAATTTATGAAAGTGATCCTTGGATTATTTTTGTGATTATAAAATGAGAGACCAACAGCATAATCTTGATATTGCTATTCATCAATCCTTTTCTTTTTTACCCTTTCAAAACTGTATACAAACTTTGCCTACAGAATGTCTAACCCCAAAGATTTCAAGTTCAGCTTGAAAGCCATGATAAACAAGCAAAAGACTAAGGTTCTTTATGTGGAGGCTGATAGCGATTTCGCAGATGTATTGTGGAGCTTCCTGACATTGCCATTGGGTACTATCGTTCGAGTCTTGAACAAACACTATGGTGATGAGGCCCCTGTTGTAGGAAGCTTAACCACTTTGTACAACGGCTTACGCAATTTGGACAATGGCCTTTTCTTGTCAGAGGACTGTAAGAACCTGCTGCTCAACCCGATAAGATCGTCTGAGGTCGAATGTCGTCGGCTGAAAATCAACGTTGACGACACGCCGCCCACAAGGTACTTCAAATGTGGAGACACAAATTGTCAATTTTCGACTCTAAGCATGTACTTTAGCGGATTGAAATGCAGTTGCCAAAAACCGTTGGACAAAAAAGTTTACTTGAGAGGTCTGGGTGATAGTGGCGGCGGTGTGTTTATTGCAAGTAAAGCGCCATTAATCATCACTGATGATCTTCAAATATTGCCTAGTGTGACGAGTACTGTTGTGCAAATTCTCCGCAACTTGGGCATTACAGATACAGTCGGGATCGTGGAAAGGAGTCTTACTTTTGGATTCAATGAGGTGAGTGACAAATTTTTCTCTCTTTAGATAATAGTACCAAATTTATGAGTCTTCTAAGGTTTGAGCATGCTTTATTTTTTTTAGATAATGGATTTACTGAAGGGATCGTTAGTTTCTCGAGCACCATTGACAGAACTTATTATCGATCAGAAGCCGTTGAACCATGTTACGATGAAAATAGGTGTCCTACCAGTTGATCTGATCAAGCCTTTCAGTGCTAAGAATGTGACACTGAAAGCCATTGTATCGGCTAATAAGCTACTGTTTGCTGAAGTCGATGGTGATTTTGTGGATTTCATATTTAGCCTGCTGGCTCTCCCCTTAGGAGGGGTCGAGTGGCTAATGGGCTCTGACACTTGTCTTACAAATATAGACAATTTGTACAAAAGCGTATCGAATATGGGAATCAACAAGTATTTGAAGAACATAGGCAAAACGGAAGCCCAGCTACTGCAGCCTAAGTTACCATTATGTTACTATTCAAGAACACACTTTCTCTCACAGAATGGAATAGATTTTGATCCTAGGTATTTTTTTTATAATAATGATGGAGAATGTTTGCCCCCGTTGCTCCCATTTTCTGGTGGTTTCCGTGTGTCTTCTTATATGTTTCCAGAAGGCCAGGTGACCTACTATAGTGGCCAATGGGTGCCTACTACATTTGCGGAAGGGCAAGAAAAATATGTAAAAGGACTAAATATGTATATGGTGACAGACGATTTAACTGTGACTCCCTTGTCTTCCACCTCGGGCTTTTCCGTTATCAATAGCCTCAAAATCCCTTTATCCGAAGTCAAGGAACTCGAGCTGGTTGTTGGTTTGGAAGAGGTTAGTGCGAGTAACATTTGACTCTGAATATGCCCTTTATCCTGATTTATACTGATAATCAATTCGTTTTTGCTTTTGGTGTAGGCTTTGAGCATACTGAAAGCATCTCTGACTTCGTCTTGCGCCTTAACGGATGGCCTCATCACTCCTTTTATAAGGAAGCAACCGAAGCTTTTCATGACTAATTCTTACTTTTCGTAATTGAATATTTTTTATTCATGTCACGTTGTTCAAGAAACTTTTGTCGTCGACTTATCAGCGAGTATATGAAATTCCTTATTTTTTGTTTTATCTACCCCTTGGCTTCGACAGCTATCGACAATGCTAGTGGCTTTGAACCTTAAACGACGACACAGAGTATAAAATAGTAACTTGTGATACTGATTCAATGTAAAATGCAGATTGTAAAAAGTTTCTTTACTGCAGCCATTTTCGAATGTCAGATTTGATGGCAGCTTCTTTTCTCAGAGCTCTAATGTTAGAAAGTATTGTGTGCATTTACTAGGTCGGTTGAGCTTTAATCATATTCAGCACAAACTGAATCATATTAGCTAGTATTGTGTGCATTTCTGTTTTGTATCCTTTATTTGATTAGCCCAATTTCTGTTTTATATCCTTCATTGATTAGCCCAAGTTACATTATGTTACAATGATTGACCTGAGTATTGACAGCTACCGATAATGCTAGTGACGTTCAACCTTAAACAATGACACATAGTATGGAATGATAAAATTTTGAAACTGATTAAATATAGATTACAGATTGTGAAACGTTTTTCGAATGAAGCCGTTTTCAAATGTCAGATTTGATGGCCGTACCTTTTCTCCGAGTTCTGGAAGAATATTAGATTGTATTCTGTTTGCACATACTTTAGATCAAGCTTCCTTTATATCAAGTCTGTTTGTGTGCTCTTAGGTCCTTTAGATTAAGTCTGTTTCTGTGCTACGAACATATTAACTTGCCGCTCTTCATTCCAGCAAAAAAAAGTATGGTTCTTGTGCTCTGCACATATACAACAAGAAAGCTACATTATTTATAATCCAATACTGGAAATGGAATTTTATGTTAGTTCCCATATTCTTAGTTTACTGTGAAAAACAAAGTACTGTTTGCTGAATACTTCTAGTGGCACTTATTGGATACTCTGTTTTGTAATGCTTTTGTGGTCTGAGTTGTAGTCCTTATCAATACATATCATTATACTTATCTGCATGTAATGACTACTGAATTGCATGCTTAAATCTGGTTAAAGAAAATGCCACTGCAGAACACTTGCCTTTTTTATTTTCGGTTGCATGCGTTAGAGCAATACATCAAAAGTGATATTAAGATTTCGGTTATATTTATAAAAATATGTGCTCCTTAGTATGTGGTCCTACTCAAGCCGAACGAGCTCCCAAGTAACTAAGCTCTCACTTGCGGCCCATGTAAAGTAAGAAGTGCTATTACAAATGTTTACCTTTTTTGTTTTTTTATCGAGATATAGGCTGTCTGTTACCTTTGCCCTTTATGAACTCATCACATGGCCATTGTGTAGAAACTTATAAGTTCCCGGAAAACCAAGTGACCTTCTCGAATTCTCGTCACACAGAATGGCAGGAAAAATATGCGAAACGACACACTATGTATATGGTGGCCGATGATTTAACTGTGACTCCCTTGTCTTCCACCTCGGGCCTTTCGGTTCTCAATAGCCTCAAAATCCCATTATCCGAAGTCAAGGAACTCGAGCTGGTTGTTGGTTTGGAAGAGGTTAGTGTTTTTTTGACCAGAGAGACATTTGAGTATTGACTATGAATACCGGTAATTAATTCGTTTTGCTTTCTGGTGCAGGCTGTGAGCATACTGAAAGCATCTCTGATTTTGTCTCGCGCCTTAACCGATGGCCTCATTACTCCTTTTTGAATGAAAAAACCGAAGCAAGAGGGATGAAGATAAATGTGACCCGAGCTGGTGCTCGTGCAGTAGTTTTCATGACTAGTATTTACTTTTTTTTGTAATTTCATATTGCGGTTTCATGTCAGAATTTTCCAGAAACTTTATCGTGAATTTACCAGCTAATATATGAAATTACCTGTTTTACAATTATCTACCCCTATGACTGAACTACCGAATTGGGTATTCACAGCTATCTATAATGCTAGTGGTTTTGAACCTTAAAAGACGACACATAGTATGAAATGATGATCTTGAAAGTGAATATATATAGATTGCAGATTGTGAAACGTTCGAATGCAGCCATTTTCAAATGTCAGATTTTATGGCTGTACCTTTTATCTGAGTCCTGGAAGAATTATTAGATTGTATTCTGTTTGCACATACTTTAGATCAAGCTTCCTTTAGATCAAGTCTGTTTGTGTGCTCTTAGGTCCTTTAGATTAAGTCTGTTTGGCTGTTACGAACATATTAACTTGTAGCTCTTCATTCCATCGAAAAAAAAGTATGGTTCTTGTGCTCTGCACATATACAACAAGAAAGCTACATTATTTATAACTTATGTCCAATGCTAGAAATGGAATTTGATGTTAGTTCCCATATTCTTAGTTTACTGTGAAAATTTCTTCAGTCCTGAAATTTCTGACGAACAAATTGACAAATAAAGTACTGTTTGCTGAATACTTCTAGTGGCACTTATTGTATACTGTTTTGTAATGCTTTTGTGGTCTGAGTTATATTCCTTACCAATACATATCATTAAACTTTATTTGCATGTAATGACTACTGAATTGCATGCTTAAATCTGGTTAACGAAAATGCCACTGCAGCACACTTGCCCTTCTTCGCTCGGTTGCATGCGTAAAAGCAATGCGTCAAAAGTGATATTAGGGTTCGATTATATTTTTAAGAATATGTGCTCCTTAGTATGTGGTCCTACCCAAGCCGAACGAGCTCCCAAGTAACTAAGCTCTCACTCGCGGCCCATGCAAAGTAAGAAGTGTTTTAATACAATTCGTTACTGTGGTTGTATAATCATTCTGTCTTAAGGACGATGCTCTTCAGTAAGATTAAACTCTCCTTAAAATCAATAATTATTCTACAACTTACTGAAAAGAGTCTCCAATTTTACTCCAAAATGGAGTTACTTCAACTAAAAAACACAAACTACAAGACAATTAATTTTACTGAAACTCGAAATAAACCAGTCCAATTTCCATGGCAAATGGAAGGTCAGGGTAATACTTAAAGACTCAGGAATCTTGTTTGACCGACTCTTGGAATACCTTTTTTGCTATATAAATAGCATTCATGCATGAAATCTTAATGCTCACATGACCTTGAGGCAAAAGCTCAATCCTCTTACACCCCAAATTAAGATACAACAATGTCTGCCCCTAAGGATGTCCAGTTCAGTTTGAAAGTCATGATAAATAGAGATAAAACCAAGGTTCTCTTTGCAGAGGCCGACAGTGATTTTACCGACATTTTGTTAAGCTTCCTGACACTGCCATTGGGAAAGATCGCCAAACTCCTTGTGGAACACTATGGAGGTGACACACCGGTAGTCGGGAGCTTGACCTCTTTGTACAATGGCCTTGTTAATCTTGATGTTGTCCATTTTCATACAGAGACAGGTAAACAAATGCTGCTAAACCCAAGAAGCGTGTTTGATAAAGAATGCCTTAAGCTGAAGCTGAATTTTTGTGATTCTGAGCCCACCAAGTACTTTACATGCGAATGGCCGATCAGGGGGAAGCACAATTTCAGCATGTACTATGATACTGTCGGATGTGACTGTGGGATAACTATGAGCAAAGAAACAGAATTAAGATCATCTGAGGCTGCTGAAGGTGGCAATGATCGAGTTTTTTGCACGAAAGGTGCTTCATTTATAATAGGTGATGATATGAGGGTGGCGCCTAATGTGGCGGGGTCGGTGTTGAGGACTCTAGCGGAACTTGGTATTAGGGACACCAAAGGGGCCGAGATGAGGAATGTGACATTCGGATATAATGAGGTGAGTCTTGATTCAATTGTAATGGACTTTCTGAAATTATGTGTGTTTTGATATTATGAATCTGCTAAATTCATTACTTGGATTTTCAAAATTAGCTATGGGCGAAATGATTTCCCGACCGCTGTTGAATATGTAATGAGACCCGACAAATGAAGTAAGGGAATACTGGAATACTCAACAAATTTACTAATTATTACAACCAAATGATTAAGACAATTGAGGGACCGATTGATTTTTGATACTGTTGTCTTTGTTCTTTGAACTAGATTATAGATTTGCTGAGAGGTATGCTTGTGTCACGAACTCCTTTGACTGATGTCATAATCGGAAAAGCTCAAACTAACTCTGGAGTTTTCTTACCAAAGACAGTCGTCAAAGCTCCAAAGACAGAGGAAGCAACTGTTTCCAACTTTGAGAAGACAATGATATTGAACGTCATGGTACAAAAGTCTAAGCAAAAGTTAATATTTGCGCAAGCGAAGGATGATTTTACCGATTCTCTCTTTAGTTTGCTCACCATCCCACTGGGTGGAGCTTTGTCACTTTTGGGGACTAAAACGGGTGTTACGTGTATAGACAATTTCTACGTGAGTGTAGAAAATATTAATGGTGACGAGTACTTGAAAACTAAAGACACAAAGACCAAATTACGGAATACCCAACTGCCTATCGGATATATGTCCCCAAGCCAACTTTTCCCTCTAACCGAAGGAGGATTTCCTGAACTTCATATTGTTGCCACTGGACTTCCTGGTCCTCGCCAACTTGTTTATTTGTCTCCTTCAACTGTGGCACATACAAAAGTTTCGTCGGGATATATGACATGTATAGAGTCCAATTTGCTTCATCTCAAGTCTCCAAAAGGCAATGGGAATTACGTGAAGGGGCCAACAATGTATATGGTGACCGATGATTTAACCGTCACTCCATTGTGTTTGACCTCAAGCCTTTCTATTTTGGACCGGCTGGGAATCCCGTTGTCTGACGTCGAAGAATTGGAGCTTAAAATTGGATTGGAAGAGGTAACCATATATGATGTAAAATATTATATAGCGTGTTCATTTCGATCGTTAGATTTGTTTTCATGATGATAGCTTTTTTTTTTTTTTTTTCAATTACTGAATGTTGTTCTTATCTCTACTGTAGGCTCTGAGCATTTTGAAGGCATCTCTTACCTCGACTTCGGCCCTGACTAATGGCCTTTTTGGTCCATCACTGAAAAAGCGTGTGAAACAAGAAGAACACTGAGGCCAATGCCGAAGGTTCCTGCATTAGTGTTTTCCTGATGATTGTTGTTCCTAAT